GTGGCATTCTCATAAAACCCGATGCGGTTCCCTCCTGATGCACGTGTCACTGATGTGGAATCTTCGTCCTCAAGCCTGGGTCGCTGCCCTCGTTCGGGTAGGGGTCTGGTGCTTTCGTCTGGTCTAGATCCACTCAAAGCTTCTCTTCATCAGCCCATGATGCAGCCTGCAGCCCTTCCGTGTCGCCGGTATCGTACCATCGCTGCCAGCCGCAAACCGCCCTCTTGGCCGGCCGTCCCGCCCCACGGCCTATCGGCCTGAAGGCTGTTTCACGCAACTTGACGCGGCGAAAGGGAACACCTGCATCGTCTGTCGACTGCTTTGTTCTGGTCCGGCCAGCGTCACGCTCGAACCCTCTTTCGTGTCTCTTTTGCTGTGGTCGCTACGCTACGTGCGAGGCGTCCCAATTGGTTCATCGCGTGGTATGTCGAATGGGCCCTCCGCCAGGACACCAGGAAGAACAGAACAACCAACGGGTTCGTAGATCCGCACCGCTGCGTAGTTGCCGGTCGGATGGCGGCGGATCCGGGGTTACGCTGTGCTCGATGACTGGGAGCCAACAGCCGTTCATAGAGCCTCGGGACTTTGACGAGGTAGGTGGTCATGGTGGCTTTGGTGGTGCAACCCCGCATAGCACGCTCTACTTTTTACCACGTTCGGCATGGCTCGATCTGAGGTCAGATGTCTTCTTGCAGATGTGACCCAATCTGATGAAGGCCTCATGAAGCTCTCCCAACCAATTGGGATGCGAGATAGATGTCCGTTGGACTCAGCTCCTCGTGATGTTTGTCTCAAGGCCGCCAACTGCCGAGCTTGTGCGCACACAGTGCTCCGTACTCTGACTCGATAGAGTGACAGCCCGGCTGGCCCGAGTGACTGTGTGCTCGGTCGCCGTGCGAGTGTATTTCCTGCAGCATCTCGGTGCGCAGCGGTTTTGCGATGATAGTCTTTTCAGTCTCTGTTTTGTGGAAACACCACCTGGCTTGCGTTGCGCAGATTCGTTTCCATCAGTGGTGGTGACTTGCTCTCTCTATCCTACCCACGTTGTCAATATGACCCGAATGGAGGAAGTGCCAATCCAACATAAGGTAGACCATGATGCTCGTTGCTCGACTACTACGATTTCGTGCCTGTCATGCCACAACGATCTCACGGCGTCTCTCCACATCATACCCAACAGGTTCGAGAGAGGCTGGCATCATGATCGACTCTCTCTCATTGGCTAGTCGCATCTTACGGGGCTGGGACTGGCGGGGCTCCATTTTTTTTCTCGGATCGGACTTTCCTCCCCGAAAAGTTTTTCCGCTTGACCTTGAAGAAAGGAATCTGTAAATCGGCAAAAAGTTGCGACAACAGCCACCGCGACTCGAAAAGACGATCTATGTTCCAGAAGAGGACTTCTGCTTGCCTTCGCCCTTGAATGATAGGCCCTGAAGGCATGGAGGAGCCCTCTCAGGGCGTCGGCGCCCCTGCGCAACCGCCGCCAGGTACGATTCCCACTTCGCACCCGCCAAGAAATCCTCGCGGCCGTGTGGAAAATAGTTGGGAGGGGGAGTTGGTGCGTTCGCCGCTGACCACGCTTGCAGCGCCCGAACTGAAGCAAGAGTCTCCTTCGTTGCCGAAGGACTTCGAACTGTCGCCCCAAGCTACAAAACGACCCCTCGAACCGGCGCCCGAGCAGGAAGATGGGGATCCCAAACGGCTCAAGCTGGGCGAGGACCCAATGTCTGATGCGATTGAGATGGAACTCGACCTCGAGGCCATGGTTCAGGACGTGCTCGGCGACATAGACAACCAGATGAGTAGGTTCGGCGGCATGGACGGCACTTCCGGGGGCGACATGAACCTCGACATGGGACCTGTGGACCCCCCACCACGAGATACGACAGAGCCAACGATTACCTTCCTCGACAGCCCGATCCAGGCAGTTCGAGCTGCCAGTCTGCCTGCATTGTCGCACTTTGTACGTTCAATTGCTCTGGCGAGAGGCCATTGCTGTTGCTGACTAGATTTTCCCAGGCCCTTCAAATCCTCATCATCGTATCCCAGCAACACTCCCCGCACAGCCTGTCCAGCGCGATACGGACGCACGATTCGGAAGCGGCTACCTCATGGGTCGCACTGAAGAACCTCTTCACAAGTACGCGGCAGCTCTTTTCGCAAACCGATCCAGTTTTACACTCAGACTTTTTCGGATCAATATGCTCCACCGACGAGCTGCGGCTTGCGAACCTCGCCAGCATCTGCTGTTCGCTGACGTCTACCGGCCGCGATGCTGATACAATAGATCGGCGCGAGCTCTACAAGAGCTTCTTCTCCATTCTGCTCCGCGACGGTAGCGAATTGTCAAATGTCGTTTCTGATCTCTTCGTTGCGGCCAAGACGCAAGCTATCATTGATTCCGTGGCCAAGGGTGTTCAGGAGACGCCAATAGACCAGATTATCGAAGAGGCCTTCCCATCGAGCCTGGAGCAGAACCTGAAAAGTCGACACGGAGGGTCCGACCTCACGCAAGTAGAGCAGGCCCTGGTGACGCTGGCGTACGGTCGAAAGGAAGCGCTGTTCAAGCAGATCGCGGAGGGCCTAGACGAAGGTTTGTCACGTTGACATGATCGCGCAACATGTGTACTGACGGATTGACAGGCAATCTGAGATCGACGTATGAGAACGAGGAGCTGTTTCGACTTCTTGGCTCATACCTCTCCGATGAACTTCAGCACTTTGCGCACATTGCTACCAAATACAGCGTTCAGCTGCCGATGAGGGAACCCATCCACCTCGACATCCCCGACGACGTGTCCGAGATGGACGAACAGGCTCTCTCCTCTCTTCTCGAAGCGACAGACGGCCTGGTAGCGCAGTACTTGCCGAACGGCGGCGTCGAAGTGGCCAACGAGCCTGCAGTTCCAACCACCGAGGGTAGCATTCCGCCGGCAGAACCGCAGACGAATGGGGGCGAAACCACGACTGTGACGGCACCGCCAGCTCAGAACGGCACGACAGACCACTCACATGAGACGCACGACCTGTTTGCGGAAATCGAGCATCAGACTCAGGAATACGTGCGCACAACACTGAGCAACCTGTCGCCTGCGCCGTATCAACCGACTGTGCCTGCGCCGACGGGATCGACGATGGTCCAAACACCGTACCTGTCACACTTGCATCAAACGCAAAATCACCCGCCACCACCCACACACTACTACGGCTACCCACCGCTGGACCCAAATCAGAACCTGGAGACAGAAGAGTCCGGGCCCTTGCCTCCGAGCCAGTCTCTACCCAGCGCTATGCTCTACGACCGTGCACGTCAGGCCGCGCTGTCAAAGAACACGAATCCCCAACGACGCGAAGGCGGCAGCTCCACTCGAAGGCCATGGTCTCAGGAGGAAGAAAAGGCGCTCATGACGGGATTGGACAAGGTCCAGGGTCCTCATTGGAGCCAGATCTTGTCCTTTGTACGGAGCTGGGGGTTCCATCTCCAACATTCTCAAGGATCGCAGCCAGGTACAGCTGAAGGACAAGGCGCGCAACCTGAAGCTGTTCTTCCTGAAGTCGAATTCCGAAATGCCATACTACCTCCAAGCGGTCACGGGTGAGCTGAAGACTCGTGCACCGGGACAAGCGGCCCGGAAGGAGGCCGAGGAGAAGGCACGACAGACGTCCGAGGAGGCTCAAGTTCGTGGGCAAGGCAACATACCCATCGCCAGCAACATTCAGTCATCACCGCACAGCCACCAAAAGACAAATTCGGTGACCCATCACGGCTTCCACTCGCTCAATCACGCGGTACAGGCGCCCGCCAGCCCATACACCCCCGTCGCTCCGCTGGCGGCAAGCGCCCAGACGCATGCGTCGTCGCCGATCACGAACGCGTTACCGGCGCCCGCGATGCAGAGTCCTGTGAAGCCGGAGACCCAAACGTCCTATACCCCTCCAGTGACCATGTCGACACCGCAGCCGACGCACCCTCAACTGCCATCGCAGCCCTATACACCAACATTACCGCAAGCTCCATCTCAGAACTCGGCACCATACACACCGACGCATTCCTACACACCACCGCAACCGGCTCCCACGGACTCGCCACACGTCAAATCCGAGCCGCTGCCACAATATGACTACATGGCGCAACAGCAGCAGCAGCAGCCGCAACAGCAACAACAACAGCAACCGCAACAGCAGCAGCAGCAGCCACAGGAGCCGCAGCAGCCGCAGTATCACCAGCAGCCTTCGCAAGAACCGCAAATGCCGGTCACTGCGGTGGACCAGATGCCAACGGCGGCCATGTACTCAGGGCTCGACGATAATGACGACCTCAAGGATGCAGCACTCATGCAGAGTCTCCGCGAGCTGGAGGCTTACAGCGGCACGAGCGTCTCCTAGAACGAGGCGTACGCGGGTCCTGTACCGAGCACAGCTTACCAAGACCCGTCGTCATCACCGACTCCTGATTCGATATAGGCGTGCGGCTCTCATGACTCTGCACGCAAAGCTCGCCATTCAACCGCCATGGTGCCGTCCGCTCGACTCATGGGAAGCCAAAGGAATGGAGAACAGCAGCGCAGCGTCACGACATGACCATGTGCATCCTGCCTTCTGAGGCAGCGACAGTTCACATGGTCCTTTGGTCACAGGGAGTATGTATAACGAGGCCCCACTAGAGAGGGCGAGTCAGGAAGAACGAAAGAAGAAAAAGCGATTGATTTGTTTGCCATGATACCACGATGAGGAGTGGAGGGAAAGAGAAACAGGGAGGGAGGACACGGACGCCCAGGGCCAGCCAGGGTAGGCAAGTCCGGGCAAAGGCGCACATTCGGTCGGCCAGCATGTCGTCGGCGTTACTTTTTCTCCAACATTCGTAGAGTAAAATGCACACGCTGCGGCGGAACTTGACATCAAACAAACATGAACATTCTGCAACGTTGTACTCGGGCTTGGCCTCCCGGTTGGTTCCAGTCAAGAAGAAGATGGTGTTGAGAATGACAGTGTACCGTCTTGCAGTGTTCGTCACTGGTGGGCGGGTGCAGTTTTGTTGAGCCATGATTATGTTTCTCGGCCACTTTTGTGTGACTCGGGCATGTCTGACCGCCAGGTTTGACAGGTCTGCTGCGACGGAGAGGCTTCGGTTTGCCTTGTTCTTCACCTCCACGCCAAGTGACACGCAATGTGCCTCATCAGGCCTTGTACATCGTCGGGATGTGTTTCGGTCATGTTTGCTCATGAGCTCACAAAACCCATGCCTTGGCTATGTGCGCCTCCGCGGGATGGACACCATAGCTTTCGCTCGTCGAGTATGACAGGTGCTTTTTACGACTGTAGATTGTCGTTCAATTCTCGGACGAAGCATGGCGCGGCCAAGTAGACCCTTGACACGGCGTGTTGCCCACGCCCTCGTGTTCTCCCACCCACTGCCGTCTTCCCTTTCCATGAATTGATACGCCTTCGGGTGCTAGCTGTCACCTACAACTTTGACGCGAAAGACGAGATCAGACATTTTTTTTCTGCACTGCAGCTACTAACCCCACGATCTTTCCTTCTTTCTCTGTTTCAACCATGTTCGGCGCCAAACGAAAGAAGCTGAAGCCCGAAGAGGACCGCCGACGCTGCAACTACGTCACGATTCAAGGCCGCTGCAGCCAGGGCAAGGTGACGCTGAGCAAAGATGGTGTCAGGTTCCCGAGCCCGTACTGTCGTTACCACTGCTGCAAGAAGGTCGACGGGGCGGCCTGTCAAGACATGAGGATCAATGCAAAGGGGTTCTGCCAGCGACGTAGGCCTAGCTTCTCTTCCTCATCATCCGTCCATGCTAAACATGGCACGATCTAGACATTCAGTGCCAAGGCAGGTCAACGGCACGCGGTGTACAACGCCGTCAGGGGCTATGATCCCAAGGAGTTCAAGTTCTGCGCACAATACCGTACGTCCATGCCGCACACCACCACGTTGGCTCGTCCCCTCACTCAGCATGACAGACAACTGCTTGGCGCTCGACTGCAAGAATGAACGCTTCTACAGCGGTGAGTCAGACCTCAAGTTCTGCGCCGACCACCGCTGCACCAGCCCAGGCTGCGACAGGCCGAAGCACACCGGGCCGTTCTGCGCCTCCCACACATGCGAGGCGCCCAACTGCCTCGCCTTCGCCGTCGGCGGCGGCGGGCCAGGCGAGCCGACGCGCTACTGCGACCGACACCGAGTCTGCCAGCACGACCAGTGCGAGCGCTTTACGCACGCACGAGAGAACGGAGGGCTGTCCAACTTTTGCGGCGCGCACTACTGCGCGTGGGACGGCTGCGAGCAGGCGCGGGAGGGTGCCGGGGAAGGCGAGCACTGCAAGGCGCACAGTTGCATCGAGATAGCGTGCGTCAAGGGGAGAACGAGCGCCGAGGGATTTTTCTGCAAGAATCACGAGTGCGATACGAAGGAGTGTCGGTTCAAGAGGTGGAGGGGCGAATACTGTCCTGAGCACCAGTGCGGGAAGCCTGGGTGTGCCGAGGAGGGGACGACAGACCATTACTGCTCGAAACATGGCACATGCAGCATGGTAGGATGCGATCGGTTCCGCTTTGCGGACGGATCGAACATCAGGGATTGGTGTGAAGAGCGTGAGTTTTGCCCTTCCAACTCCCACTTCCTCTCCCTGCCCCTCTCCAGCACCCAGGTGATCAGCCTCCCAGGCAGCAAGGCATGCTGATCCATTGTCGGACACAGACTTCTTCCCAAAATGCCGAATACAGGATTGCGAGGCTAGGGCGGTTGACGACAAGGAGTTTTGCCGGAACCATATCTGCGAGTTCCGAGGGTGCGGCGGGCAGCGCTCACATTGCGGGACGCTATGCGACGTGCACAAGTGCGGTGTCGTCACATGCCCACATCCTCGCTGCAACATGTCGTTGCCGCCGGTCATGATCATGATGGGTAAGTCATGGCCTTTATCGCCGTATTGCAACGGTCACGCATGCCACCACGACAGCTGCACACAGCAGTCGGCGGACAGGAGTCGTTTCTGTTCGGCGCACACACCATGCCGCCATCCAGGATGCTCCAACATGGTGCAGTTGACAGGCACCGACCCAACATGCTGCTCAGATCACAATCAACGGGACTCTGTGGGCCGACGAAGGTACGCTGAGTATCCGGGGGTTGGTGGGGGGTGGCCGGGCGGATGGGGCGTCAATGCTGTTCTTTGAGGTTCGATGACGGATGACTGAGCACGAGTCGGCAAGATGACAAGCAGAGCGTGGGGGAAACCCTCAAACTGTAGAAACATGCAGAACTTGGCACAATTAGCACTGATCCAAGTGTTGACGTGGCCCGTGATATGGCCGCTGTGGTCCGCAACTCAGGACCGTAGAGGGCATCTGGGCCCAGAACGTTCGGCCGGTCGCCTACTAACGTGATGCTTCTGCGGGGAAGACACCAGGCAGCAGCAGATGACTGGCGATTTAATCAGACAAAGGGCAGACAAAGCGGCCAGGATGGTCGGCCTAGGCTCGAGGCAGTACACACGCCAGTCTGCTCCCCACGTGGTAGTCCCGTCGCTGGGCCAAGCCGACTGGCTTTAGCACCACATTGGGGTCGTTGGGCTCTCAGGCTGGTATTGAATCTCGCAGTGAAGCGGTATGTCGGAGGAGGAGGCCGTTTGAAGGACAAGGGCACCATCGGGCTCATTGCAACTTTGGGCCAAGCTGATGAGGCACTGCCCACAGCTGACCGTTGATCCAACTCCCCCTACCATTCATACCGGCGAGTTTGATCGTCTCGCAATTCAGACACGAGAGGTAGCCAAAAGCCATCTGCTCTCAACGATCTCAAAGAGATGGCAGGCCGGCGCAAGTGCTGATGGGTTGAGACAGGATTGCGACCCTTCGTCTGAAGCTGAATACGTACCTTCCTCCCCTGCCTGTAGGCACAGGAGATCCTGTTGTGGCAAGAAGTGGCAAATTGGTCAAAGACGTTGAAGCACATCATGGGACCTTGTCGTCGAGATATTTTCGAGTCGAGAGGGGCTGGTCAGGCTTTGTGCGGCTGTGTAGTTGCATGATCGAGGGCTCTTTCTTTGTCGTTGAGGTTGGGTTGATGCAACAAGTTTGATGCACGGGAGGAGGCTGCGTCTTGTACATATTAGGTACTGCACCCAAGTACCTCTATGGCGAAGAGGATCATCCAATAGAGAGTGTGGCTCGGCCAGCCCATTTGAGGCGCAGGCCCCACGACGAAGCAAGGCGACGTCCCCGACTGGTACGGAGGCCGCCAGCAAGCGCAGCCGCCCGCCAGTCGCTCTTCGTCTCCACAGTTCCTGCCAGCCGGAGGGGCGGGAGTGAGGGTACCTGGATACTTAGGTACATTCATGTGGTAAGCAGAACAAAGGTCATTCCCAAAACGTCACCAGACCCACGCCTCTCAGTAACCAACCAGGTGAACACCCAACGACGACCTCTCGCCTCGCTCGCACTGAGGAAGCGAGCTCTTCTCGCATTCCAACATCTGGCCCTATTCCCGCCCGCATGGCGAAGACAAAAGCAGTCGCGTTCCGAAGAAGTGGTACTATTGAGGGGGGGCCACCGTTGAACGACCCCGAATTAGCTCCCCTCCCCCGGCTGTCGTTGGTTGCCTTGAGCCAAGCCTCACGACGTGCGCAACCTCGTTCGCTCCCCCCCCCCTCTTCAAGTCCTCAAGGCTGGATCGAAAAGCGAATGACCCCCCTTCTTTTCGAGACCCAAGACATGGCTACCAACTCGTGGCCTGGATCTCATGTTCTTCTATACACAATACCGCTCTATGACTACATCGCTGAATGACACTTATGTCTCGACCAGCCCGGTCAGGGACCTCGTCGCCGTGGATCGCTGCAGGTCATCCCGTGTACCTGACAGAGGTCTTCCGTCACCCTTCCCTCCCGCTCGACACCCTCTCGCCGGACCATGCGCCCAGCCCGCGTGCCTGCTTTCGGCTCCTCTCTTCGCTGCTAGGTCTTGTCGACGGTACAGTGCGCCGTTGGGGCGTCTTTGACCATGGCTCTCGCTCCCTCCCTCTGCTTTTTTGTTGCGGGGGGGAGTGGGGTGGGTGTCCTGCAAACGGTCGAGTCTTGTCATGGCACAGGCAGCGAGCGACCAAAATGTCGTTGTCCTTGTTCGCTTCCTTTAAGACAAGACTGTCCCGCTGCCGCTCGAACCATGTCCGTCCATGCCGTGCCGTACCATACTCATTTGGCAGGTCACACTGACGCTCATTCGTTCTGCGACTCGACCCGACTTGAGGTCCCCTGCTTTGATCACCTGCAGTAGTTTATATCGTCTTGTGGACTTGACGCCGTGTTGGGTACCCGTGAGACGTTATCAAGCTGCCATTCTCCTATTTTCCATTCCCCCATGTCCAACATCTTGTCCATCCCTAAACGTCATCTATCCGCTTTCTGCCTATCCGTCACTATCACCAAGAAGAACCCGAATCAAAGCGTGTGCGAACCCGAAAAGCGAACCAAAGAAGCCCTGTTTGACAGTAAGAAGCGAACAACAACGAGAACGAGGACAAACATAGCCGTCGACACTACCGACACTCACCCACAACATCCACTGGCAACAGTCCTCGGGTGTCAACCGCCTTGAACCCGTCGAGGTTGGACGCCGAACAGAGAATTCCGAACCCTGATTCTCTTCTTCGCGCTCCCTCTCTCATGTCTCGTCGCTACTACGTCGAGACCTCTCCCTCCGGCCGGCCGCAGTTCGTCACTCTCAAGCGCTCCCGCTCACACCACCACCACCATCACCACCGGCCCATCGAGCACGACGACTGCTTCGTCAGCAGGGAGGACTGGAAAGCTCTCGTCGAGCGGGAGCGCTGCCTGCGCGATGCCAACGACGTGCTGACCCGTGACAACTACACCCTCAAATGCACCCTGCAGGCCACGGACGGCGAGCTGCGCCGCTACCAGGCCTGGGTGCCGCAGCTGCAGGACCGCATCCAGTGTCTCGCCGCCGACAACGCCGCGCTCAAGAGGTCGCTCGACAGCGCCGGCGGCCACTCGGAGAAGCACTACCGCGAGATTGAACGCCTCAAGCAGAGGCTGCTCAAGGCCGACAGGGAGATTGGGGGACTCAACGACCGCCTCAAGGATATGCTGCGGAGGGCCGGCCACGGCGTGCAGGATCGCATTGACGACCTGACGGGCATCATTCACGACTGGAAGCGCAAGTTTGAGGTCGTGGACGAGCACAATATTCGTTTGCGGCGCGATCTGGATAATCGAAACTCAGTCATTTCGGAGCAGTGCGAGCGCATCGATGCGTATGAGCGGATTATGAGGCGGCATGGGCTTGTGCCGCGGTGAGGGAGGACATAGGAGACGGTGGTGGTGTAGTCTTGCATTTAGTGTTTTCCGACCATCTCCTTTCTGTCTGTTGATGATAGGGGGGTTGCTGGACAGGCGACCTGTCTTTTTTTTTCGATTCCTTTTATTGTTCTCCCTGCCCGCAGCGGGATGGACGGTCGAGTTGCGGAGGATCATTCATTTGGCATCTCCTATGTCACGATTTACGAGGAATTTGGGCCATGTCTTCAGATACTGTCGACGTGTTCGCACGCATCTTGTTTTGAATGTCGCTACATAGATACCATTTTGTTTTTCTTCTGTCATGACTACGTGCCAGTCAGTATACAGGTGTGAAGTAGCGGACTGGGGTCTAGAGAGAATGAGGCTCATTATCCATGAACCAGGTAGGCCCGTTCCTGCCATCTTCTACGGTAGCAGAATGTACTGGCAGCAAGACGAGGAGCAACGTGAACGAGGTCTAAACAAGCCATGGCCCATACTGTATGATTGGCCGAGCCCCCAGAGGGATGCGCACTCTGCTGTCAGCCCTGGTCTTCCAGCACATAGAGACATTTCGATCCATGGGCCGAGTGGGCGAACAAAGTCGGTGCCGAGTCGGAGGTTGCGCCGGACTTGGCAACGTGCTCCTCCAGAACAAGCAAACGCCAAGCCAGAGCTGACGAAATCTGCATCACTTAGACTCTGGGGATGCTTAACCTACGTGGGGGCCAAGAGAGGAAGAGGGAGAGTTCACGGAGCCAAGCACCCTCTCGCACCGACCATGTGCACGTGAAACGACGTTTGCTCAGCTGCTCAGGGGTCCCTATCCTACGTGTTCGGGGTCTGACGACAGCAAGATGCCCCAGCTTTGGGCCTGCATGAACCGCACAGCAGGATGGATTTCGATCCCGGCGGGCAGAAGAATCACGAGGGTGGTCAGACGGGAAACGGAACGAGGACTGAGAAAAAAAGGATTCAAAAACAACATACCCGTGGCGAAGAGACAATGGTGTTTCAAGGCGCAAGTGACAAGGGGAAAAGGGGGCGGCAGGGCGCGTGCAAAGTGACGATGATCGATGGTGTAGTCCTTGGGGCTCAGCCTCTGTCAGCCGCGCGGCGGGGCGTGTTCAGCAGTTCGCAGCCTTGCATCCTTGGGCGCTTCTAGAACTCTGACCAAGTCATCTTCTTTTGTTTGCGTTGGATTCGCAAAAGTATGCGGCGAGAACGGATTGGGACAGGACATCGCCATGGGCATCAATTCAAACGGTCGACCAGGGGTGCGGAGAGGGGCAACAGGCGCATAGCCTCGTCAGCTGGCGGGTCTCAGCCCTACGGACGGTCGAATTTAGGCCTTGTGGGGAATGATTTGCAGTGAACGTGGGATCATTTTAGCGGGCGATACCCTACCTAGGTTCCCAGGCCGGTAGAACTGCCCAGGTAGGAAAGGCACGGTGTATGCTTGCTGTGCAGTGAGCCGCAGCGGTGATCCTGGAGGGTGCCAATCGTCCGAGCCCGAGGGGATTGGCAGTGGGCGTGCTCGAGCGGCGTTCGGGGCGGCGATACTTCCACGTCACAAAGGCTGGGCGAAGGCGTGGTGCATGCTGCAAGGCACGATTCTTTGCAGGCGATGGAGAAAGGGCAGATGCTGCTTGCGATGACGCGGAGCCCTGGGCATCTCGTTACTCAGCGACGGCAAAGCGCGTTGACAGGAGACAAAATCATGATCATCAGGGCCGTGCACCTGGGTACTCGGGCATGTACCTGACTAGGTAGGTACCAGACGGAATGAAAGCTGGTTGAGGGCGACTGGCAAGGCATACTCGAGCGAGCGGCCTTGGCATTGTCACTTTTCTTTGTCTTCCACTGCCAGTTTTTGGTCGCGTTTCCGCGTGTAGTAGGCCACCCCTGAAAGCGAGGACTTATAGGGCTTTCTGTCTACCTAGATCTCCCTGTAGTCCACGCCAGCTGGTAGGCGCCGTTGCGCTTGCCCTTCGGCCGCTGCCGGGCCGCCGGTGGGTGCCTGAAGTGACGGGCGGGAGCTTGCCCATTTGCGTTGTGGCCTGTCCCGCCGTCTACATGTACGTAGTGTCGAGCATGTCACCACGAACCAGCCCTGAAAAAAGTCTATTCACGGTCCACCGCCAGAAGCCCGCGCGAGAGGCCTGCCACGAACGAATGAAATCCCCGATGGCCCGTGGAGTGGACAAGGCGAGCCAAGATCAAAGGTGATGCATGCGCGCCATCAAGTGTCTGGCATGGATGCAGGCTTCTGGCGACGAACGACAGACGACGTACTGTACAACCAGACGAGGAGACACCACGCGACATGGGCCAGACTCTTAATGCGCGACATGACCGTTCCCCAGCCCTCCTCGCGCAGAGTGACTCACGCAATCACGGGGGTGCGCAATCGCGCCTACGCAACCTCGCAACGCGCATCGCGCATCAAACGTCACGCATCACGCATCACGCATCGCGCAGCCAGAATCCCTCCAGGCTGCGAGTCCCTCCTTGGCGCTGTTGAGGCTGGTGACCGGTCCGTCTGGGACGCGTCGGGTCGTGGGGGCTGAAAAAGAACAAGACGTTGCGACGTGACACTTTTGGGGAGAAGAGCAAGATGGGTGTGGGTGAGAATGAGGCAAAGCAGACGTCTGCTCGATCCTTTGTGGCGCACCAATTTGCGAACCTCGCTGTGGAAGAGGAAGGAAGAGGCAACCAGCGGCACTTCCAACTATCTCCCTCACCTGCCCCTGCCAGTTGGTCCGGACCAGACAAGGCAATCACTACTCGTCGGCGAAATCAGGCTGCCAATGCTGCTGCCGGTTCTTCACTGCCTCCGTCGTAGAGTGCTATCAGTGGCTTCCCTACCCCCCCCCCTTGGGGCCCACTTGCCCACGTACCCACTCGCCCACCCTTCCCTTCCCCCCTTCCTCTCCAGCACAGCCTCGACTGCACCAATGAGAGACTCCAGGGGAGTGTCGGCATGGATGTACTCGGCAAGCCAGATTCGGACGCGGTCAGCACTTGCTACATCCCATACAGGTGCCTTTTTCTACTTGCGCCTCTTTGTTTCCACGACTCCCACCCTCCAGTATACCCTCCTGCCTTGTGCCCCTACCCTCCATGCATAGGTGGGCAAGTACGGGCT